TGGTTGTGGTAAAGAAGATGTCAAGGCAGGAAAGGTTTCCAAGAAAAAAGTACATGGGAGTGTGCAGCTTTGGTTCAACTATTGCAACAAGCACAATAGCTGCATTCCCCAGTAGGCTGGCCAAATACAACATCAGGAAGGTCACAAAGAGTGTACACTGAAGCTGCCAGAGATTGGTCAGGCCCGTCAAGATGAATTCTCTCACCTCTGTTTGGTTCTTCATCTCTAAAAGACAGCAGGGAGAAAGAAAGGTAGGTGAGTACCATTCAAGTCATTTACCTATACAGTGGTACCTCTACTTATGAATGTGATCCCTTCCGGGGTGCCGTTCTCACCCTGAAAAGTCCGCAAGTAGAACACCACTTCTGCTTGTGCGTGTGACGCGATAGAGTGCTTCTGCACCATGCACAAAGCACACAGATCGCTCCTGCGCATGCGTGAAGCGGCAAACCCGGAAGTAAACACTTCCGAGTTTGCTGCATTCATAACCTGGAAAAACGCAATGTGAAACAAACGCAACTCGAGGTATGACTGTATCTGAAATCTCTACAAACATAAGCAGATAAAACCCAGTCTAATTCTAAACCCACTTACATTCTTTATGTGGGTTGTATGTGGCTGACAGAGTGGTGCAGAGCTAACAACTTGCCCATAAATACAAGGAAGACAAAGGAGCTTGTGGTGGACTTCAGGAGACAGAAGAGCAATGTCCAGCCACTTTTGATTGATGGGGTCTGTGTGGAGAGGGTAACAACGTTCAGATTTTTGGGCATTGAATTACAAGAGGATCTGTCCTGGAGTGTCAACACAAGGGGGCTTGTGAAGAAGGCGCAGCAGAGACTGTACTTTTTGAGAATTCTAAGGAAAAACCATCTTCCGCAGAAACTGCTGCTTGCCTTCTATCGCTGTGCCATTGAGAGCGTGCTCACTTATGGCTTATGTGTGTGGTACGGAAGCTGTACTACCCAGGACAGGATGGGGTTGTGCAGAGTTGTTAAGGCAGCAGAGAGCATTGTTGGCTGCCCACTCTCCACCTTAGAGCAGATTTATGCCACAAGGTGCCATAGGAAGGCACTGGACATAGTAAAAGATCCATCGCATCCTGGTCACTGTCTCTTCGAGCTCCTGCCGTCGGGACGGAGATACAGGACGATGAAGACAAGAACGAGCCGTCTTAAGAACAGCTTCTTCTCCAGAGCGATCTCGGCCCTGAATGGGAAGCCTGGACTTTGAAAGTCATCTAATTAATCTTCCTTGCTGTACTATACTGTATTGTTTTAATTAGTGTTTTTATGGAGCAGTCAAGTAATTTCGTTGTCCCCGAGAGGGGGTAATGACAATAAAGATATTATTATTATTATTATTATTATTATTATTATTATTATTATTATTATTATGAAATGATTTTAGTTTTCCTTCAACCATAATCATTACTTGCGTGCCCAGGTGTCGCACAACCCTCAAACCTGTCTGATGAATAACAGTCAAAAAACAGTATTTTTGGTCAAATCAGGGACAACTTTATCGCCATCCCAGTCGCAGAGCCATTCCCTCCTACCCCCAGAAATAGACACTCACATTTTAGCATATCATTACATAAATAACTACAGCAAAATTGTACCTGTGTTCTCCTTCCAGTATGACTCTTTCAGGATCATCTGAAATCCACATTTGGACAAAGAATAGTTACAGATAGCATTGGTCAAGATTAATGTTTGCCAATTCAGTTATTCGAGTTGCAGGAAACACCCATTTAAATTACTGAACCCAAGTTATGTTCATTAACTTCAAATGGTCTTATCTTACTAGCACTAGCACCGGTTTCAATCCTTTGCTTTACTTTATCATCATGAGCATTTCATTTTTCTATTGTGTTCTTTTGGATGAACATAAATTGCTATATTAACATCCAGCTATATAGTGTGTTCTTTCAAGCTGCAGACGGCGCCTACCTTGATGAGTTCGCCTTTCCCTTAGATGATTGAACATGAAACTGATGCTAAGTGGTATGAAGGAAGTATTTAAAGGAGACAAAAGAAATACACTCTGATTGCTGTGTGACCCCACGTGAATGTGTAAGCCTAAGACTTAGTATGCAACATGTGCCCAGCTTGTTAAAGATTGTTGGCTGTCATTGGGGAAATCAGCTACATTCATTAATTTAGTACCTCTTCATGTGGGAATAGAGTCTATAAATCTCTTGGTTTTGAGAAAATAAACACTATGTGCCTTTGAGAATATAAATTGTGTTTTTGAGAACACAATTTATAGAATCAATAAATTCTGCCAAGCTGTTTTTAATGACCAATTTTATTTTTAGAATATTATTTTATAAGGCCCACATTCTTGAGTACAGAATCCATCATAATGTAATTGTATTTGCGCCTTGGAAGCTGCGTACAGATTTTCTCATGTGCCCAAGCACCACCACTACCCCAGTGTCCCCTGATTTAGGAAAAGAACCAATCAATACACAATAATAATTTTGGGGGTCAAATAAGGCCACAACTTTTATTATTTACAGATGTAATAGGTTTGGCAAACACACTGGGTATAACCATTAACACCCAGCCCAGCTGCTGGAAGTATTTCCAAAGGGGGTTGCTCCTGAGACGAGGAGGACCTGTAACCTGCCCATGCCTGGGTGTCTGAAGAGTAGCACCTCCTCCCAGATCCCTTTAATGGGATACCCATTTCCTTTGGAGGCTCAGGCAGAAGCTTACAACCCCCTAAAACAAGAGTAGGCCCAACCTAAACTGTCATCTGAGCAACTACCATTATGTCTAAACACGGCCTCTTGTCAGGTTTCAGTGAATTCTGATCCTTTCCCCTCTCACAGTAGACAGTCAAGGAAGTAGACAAGGAAGCTCTTACTGAATCTTTATTCAATATTCATGGCAAGAGGCCTCTGTACACTGCCTCTTAAGTTAATGGTGTTGCTCCAACTGAGCTCCTCCTCCCTCCCTTCCTAGCAACAGCACTTCACCTTATAGTGGCCGCCAGGGTCTAATTGTCTCTGAGTCCTTTGCTCTTCCACTTTCAATGCATGCCAGGTTCTGGGGCGTCAGAAATGCTGTTCTGTGAGAATGTATCTCTGTCTCGCCCTTCTCTTCTCCCAACACCTCCCAACTCTTCTGTTCACCTGTCTCTGAGCTGTGACCTTCCTCAAACCACAGCTTCAAGAGAAAGGGGGGGGCAGTATCCACCATTCCTCCTCAGTCTCATCCCCCTCAGTCCAGTCCCTGACACCTCTTTATCAAAGGTGGTGTTGGGGTGCCAAATCAAGAATCCACCCAATAACTCAACTTTGCATTTCACTGCACAGTTCACCTTCTTTCTTGCTTGAGTTATACAAATTGGGCGTGGAACACCACACCATTGCCTCCTTTCCAACAGTTCAGACCCATTTGTGGGTAATTTCTCATTAAAAAGCAAATTAATTCATACTTTGTGAAGCAATCAGCAAAACAAAACACAGCCATGCTTAAAAATTGTAACTTCTTTGAATTTTGCAATGTCACCCAAGTAATATGTACAAAAATTCATACAGCAGCATAAAGTGTGCACAAAAGTGACATATTTGTGGAAGTAGCACACAAAATTCTATTATAGTAGGGGGAAATGATATATCAGGAGAAATCCTATACAAACATGTGGCAATCAGGAGAAATTCACACTGAAACTGGAGAATTTTCACAAGGACTTTAAATAATGCAAACTGATGTGGAAAAGTGGAAAAGTGAAAATAAGTTGGAAAAATGAGAAACTGAGGGAAAATGTAATTGACAGATTTGCTCATCTTAGCCTAGACAAACTATGTTCTATAACCAAGGTGTCACAGGAGCCCCTCATTTTCCCAAGAGATTGCTTTTTCAGCTGAATGTTGCTTTTATTTGTTTATACCTGCTTACAATGATACCCTCTTTCCATCAGATCTGGGCTTTGGATCAGCTCCTAGCTTCTTGGTTTTATTCTCAAATGTCATCTCAGTTGCCAGGGTAGAATTCCAACTGCTGCATCACATCTCAACTGGATATGATCTGCATATGCACATGCTTCTTTTGATAAACTGAAAATAGAGTAGCGAGAGCATTTTGGCCCTTACTGCCAGTGCAATGTATTTTGGACCTGCCAGTATGATATCTCTTCAGCAACACAGATTGCTGTTTCCCAAAAACTAACCATTTACACATACTTCTGGCAATGCAAGTACAGTCACATTCCTCCCTCCCTTTCTTTTTGATGAAATTACAGAGGCATATCAGTTGCCTTTATCCCACAATGAAATAATTTTTGTTTTCAACATTGAATAAGGACCATGCCTTCCATTAATCAAGATCTACCCCAAAGATCTTACCTGCATTACATTGCAGCAGAGAGTTTGGCCATAGAGTATACACTTGCCTATGATCTACAGACAAGCCCTACAGGCATGCTCACATGGTATTCATGTTTTAAAGGCATGTTGGCTTTTTCTGTGTGTTACATACATTTTTAGGTGTGTACAGGAAAGGGGAATCACCATAGCGATTCATTATGAAAGTCTGTAGACCAAGGATGGGAAGCATTAGCTCTCCATTTGTTCTTGGACCACAACTCTCATATTCTTTGGTTATTGGCAATGATGTCTGGGATTATTGGAGGTACAGTCCAACAGCATCTGGATTGTTCTATATCCCTATTGTAGACCTTTTGTGAGGTTGAACCAGTTTCAGAGACCAGATTGTTACTTACTGTAGCTTGGAAAGACACAATATAAAAGACTGTGGATTTGATCTGATAAAAAGATTTAGAAAATTCATGCCCGTTGCATGAAAATATCCCACCCACCAATAAAGAATCCAGATATAGCTGCCCCCTCCCTTAGTTCAACACAGGAAAGCCTAAAAGTGGTTATGAGGATCTTTTGACATTCTCTGTGCCTAGCTGCATCTTATGACCTTCCATGGCCAATATCAGTTCTATGAAACAAGGGCAATAACAAACTATTAAGTCCATATTTAAGCTCTGCACTTTTGATTTATTAATTTCTTAATAGCACTTTTCACTTCTTGATTCCTTAGAGTGTAAATCAGAGGATTCAGAACTGGAGTGACAACAGTGTACATGAGAGTGACCATGATTTCTTGCTTTAGGGATTCTCCTGAGGAGGGGGGAACGTAAGTCAAGATCGCCCCTGCATAGAAAAGAGTCACAACTGTGATATGTGAGGCACATGTGGAGAAGGCTTTTGCTCTGCTTTCCTTAGACTTTACTTTTAAGAAGAGGAAGTAGAGGATGTAGGTGTATGAAAGAAATGTTAGGAGGAAAGGGAGCACAACAATTAGGCCTGTAACTATGTTGAGGAGCTGGAGGTTAAGAATGGTGCTACAGCACGCCAATCTCAAAAGGGGTTTAATGTCACAGAAGAAGTGCTGGACTATGTTGGGGCCACAGAAATGGACCCGAGATGTCATTATGGTGTGCATGAGAGCATGGAGGAATCCAGTGGTCCAGGTAGCCATGGCCAAGAAAAGGCAAGTCTTCTTGTTCATGATGACAGTGTAACGCAGTGGATTACATATTGCTACATAGCGGTCATAGGCCATGACACCCAGCAGTAAAGCCTCACTGCTACCCAGGAAGTGGAAAAAATGAAGTTGTGTCATGCATCCAATAAAAGAGATTTTCTGGTATCCAAAGAGGAAGCCTGTCAACATCTTTGGTACAGTGACGGTGGAGTAGCATATGTCAAGGCAAGAGAGGTTCCCAAGAAAGAAGTACATGGGGATGTGCAGGCGTGGCTCAATCAGCGCTATGAGTAAAATGATGGCATTCCCTACCATGATAACAAAGTAGACAAACAAGAAGATGATGAAGAAGAAGGTTTTCCGCCCAGGGACATTAGTCAGACCCATGAGGATAAAATTATTCACATTTGTCTGGTTCTCCATCACTGAAAATAAAGGCAGAAATATTGCAATGAAGCATTATTATGACAGGCTGTTTCAGCTGTAAATGAGCAAAGATGAAGCCAAAGAAAGAAGTAAATCAGGTGGATGGGGGAAAGGATAAGTAAGTCTAGAACATCAAAAATAGAAATTGGTTTCATAGGCCACAGTAAATCACAGCTAGGATCTCTGCCAAATCTAAATTCCTGACTATGCTAAAGGGTATGCATAAGATTTGGGGTGGGTGAGTAGAGAAGAGCTGATCTCTTCATCTTTGCTGACTCCTCAGGCCCCAATCTTCTCATATTAGCAAATTGCTCTAAAGATCAGCCTACAATGATTTGCTGGGCTTGTTGGCTCTTAAATGAAGAGTGAGAACTTGCATACACATAACAAAGACACTGGGTGCCACAAAGGCAAGCCCACTAACCAGTTTCCCAAGTAAAAATATGCTTCTGATGCTTCATGCCCATATCCATCACTGTCCTAATCAGCTTTGTACTACCTGTACATAACAGGAGCTGGGAATCACAAGTTGGGAGAAGAATATTGCTCTCAGATTCTGGTTGTATGCTTCCCATAGGTGTCTGGTTGCCCTGTGAGAGCAGCTACTCTACTATGTTGGCCCTTTGGCCTGACTGAGTGGGACTTTTCTTGTGTTCTTATGTGACATTGGTGTGTATATCAAGTGCAGTTTTTTCTCACTCTAAAATCCCTGCACCTCTTTAGAAGAAGTTTATGTCTGCAAATTTTCATCCACTTCCTCTCCCCAAGTTATAAATGTTTGTTTCCCCATTATAGGATACAGGGCAAGCATCTGAAGCTTGGGAAAATAAGGCAAGCCACTCTCTAACAGAGCTGTCAAAGTGGATCCAAAGCAATTATTTTCCCCTACTTCTTTGATGCTCCAGTGGTAGTAATGACAAAAAATAGTAGTAATGCTCCCCTTCCACCCTGCTACTGACCTGCTATTATGAGACAGAAAGATTTGGACTTGGCAGATCTTTTTCCATGACCACTCCTTTCTTTGACCAGATAGAATTATTATTGAGTTACAGAGCACCTTCATTGTTGGCAAAGACCTAAGGAAGAAGAAGTCATGCTGGAATTAAGGAAGGATGTTTTCTGAAGAAGTTGTAGGATTTCAGCTCCCATTATCCCTGATCGTTGGCCATGCTAGCTGGGGCAGATGGGAAATGGAATCCAAGAACATATGAAGTTGAAATTGTTGTTATTAAATTGTTATTATGTTATTGTTTTGCTCTGTTATGATGAAATTGTTCTTGTAGTGTTTGAAATGCATCCCGGTTTCTTTGTTGTAAGCTATTTTGAGAGTGACTTTTGTGTGTGGAAAGGTGGCATAAAAATAGAATGAATGAATGAATGAATGAATGAATGAATATGGACAGCCATGGGTTCCCTATCCCTATATTGGGTCCAGAAGCAATTTCAGACCATCTTCTGCTATTCTAACCTTTCTCCAATTTCCGTCCTATATCCCACTCCCTTTACAACTATTTTACCCACTGTAAATAGATGTTGTAAATCAGGAGTTGACTAGAGTCAAGCACAGGAATGTGTGGACATAGCTCATATTTCAATAGTATTTACCCAAACATAATTGCTCAGCACTGGAGTGTTTCCTTTTAGAAGACTGGAGGAAGGAAAGTAGAAATTAAGAATACAAAGAGTATGCTTTATACTTGTATCTTTTTTTAGGGACCAAGCATTAACTTTTCCAGCTATTCTTCTCAGTCAATGGTGTTCAATGGAAAGCAGTATTCCAGAAAAACTGGTGATGTTGTGGTTGTATGGTGCCGTTCTTACCTAATAGCAGTCCTTGTTTATGCAGTCCCTTTGTATAAAATCAATACACTGGGGGTGCAGTGAGTGGAGGGACAAGAGATCTGTTAATTACTCTCAAGGGGAGAAAATGCGTAAATAAATGAGGTAATTTACTCAGGGTTAATACAAGCAAAGTACAACCCAACCCATATCATACTCCAAGGAGTGCAAGGTGGCACGTGTGAATGTCACCCTCCTTTTTTATCATGACAACAACTCTTTTAGGCTAAGAGATGATAACCTATCTGAGATCACTTACTGTGCTTCATGGGGATTTGAACCCTTAGTCCCCCAATCCTGGTACAGCACCCATATCATTCATATCAATGTGCTCCCACTGGAATAAAACACAAGACTGTATTTTGATGCAAGGGGCACATTTTTATCAACCATTCTTTGGAGGTCTTTAAGCAGAGGCTTGACAACCATATGTCAGGAGTGCTCTGATGGTGTTTCCTGCTTGACAGGGGGTTGGACTTGATGGCCCGTGTGGTCTATTCCAACTCTATGATTCTATGATTCTATGATTTGCATATGCAACAAGCAACTTCTAATTAACATTATCTCAGGTCTGCTGACTTGGAGGGGTGTGTGCTGTCAAAAGGCAGGAGGGCTGGGTTGTCAGGGTACAGTGGGGGGTGGGTGGAGAAAGAGAGGAAGGCAGATTCTGCAGGGCCTGCCCTGCTGGTGCTTCCATGTGGTAGCACATGGAACATGCTGCTAAAGCTTTATCCACCAGGATTGAACACTGAGCCCTGCTGCCCTTCCTGGCTGCACATTGAATTAGGGTTCACAGGGTGACTGCAACAGCATGCTTCATTTAATTCCAAGCAACTAGTATTCAGATGCACACTGCCTCTGAAATTGGATGAAGAAAATAATAATTGTGGTTAGTAGCCATGGACAACTGTGAAGCGGGAGAGCAGTCATGGTGGGTGCAGGGAGATGCTAGAGAGGAGAAACATGCAGACACCAAGCTTGGCAACCTCGAAGTGCAGCAGTGGATTATGAGAACAAACACATTTTTTTAGCTGGGTAATAAAAATGCAGCTGGGAGTTAAAATGACACTCAGGGTTGAGGAATGCTGTGCAGGTAAGAGAGGAAGAGACCAGCCAACAAAAGGCTTGAGAGGATCTGACTTGGATATTGACCAAACAAAAAGAGGGAGAAGGGGGGGTGGAAGGGGGGATGAGTATATGCTGAAGAGGGAGGAAACGAAGGTTGCAGTGAAGTAACTGTAAGAGCAGTTAAGGAGAGATCTAGACCTGCCTAGAAGGCTAAAAAAGAAAATCTATGAGGAGAGAACTCACAGGTTTGCCGTTTATCCTTCTCCCAGTGGTGAGGCAAGGGAACAGCAATAAACAGTGTTGTTACTCGGATGTTGACTACAGTGGTACCTCTGGATATGAACAGGATCCGTTCCGGAGCCCCGTTTATATCCTGAAGTAAACGTAAGACGCGTCTGCGCGTCTGCACATGCACGGGTCGCGTTTTGCCACTTCCGCGCATGCGCGTGATGTCATTTTGAGCGTCTGTGCATGCGCGAGTGGCAAAACCTGGAAGTAATGCACTACGTTACTTCCAGGTCGCCGCAGAGCGCAACCTGAAAATACTTAACTTGAAGCTCCTTCAACCCGAGGTATGACTCTATATGCTGGAGCACAGAGTAAAATTAACTGTCCTGTAAAATTCCAGGGTGGGTTGCTACAGGCAGGGCCGGATTTAGGTTTGATGAGGCCCTAAGCTACTAAAGGTAATGGGGTCCTTTATATCTCCAGCTGTCCTTTGTCAACAACAACTTGTCGCTGTTTTTTTGTGTTGAATATATGCTATATGGTAATTTATGGACCCAATACGTACCTAAAGCCATTTGCACATAAGAAAATATGTATTTTATCAAAGTACATCCAGTTTTCCCCCTTTGAATTATTTGGGGCCCCCCAAGAGATTGGAGCCCTAAGCTATAGCTTATACGTAAATCTGGCACTGGAGAGGGATACTATACAATTATCCAGTACTAGTTTTGTAAGCTTCCACCGATCAGGGAATGCTAAGTAAGGTTGGGAGTGAGAAAGTATATTGGGAAAGGAGTCATCAGTATATTGCTGGAACTCAGCTCTATTCCACTGTTACATCAAAGTCAGCAGTCACCAGTGACCAACCCAAAAAGTTATCTGGCTACATTGGTGGGCTAACTGAAGGCCAAATGTCAGAAGTTAAATCAGGGGTCAGCAATTTTTTTCAGTAGGGGGGCGTTCCACTGTCTCTCAGACCTTGTGGGTGGCTGGACTATATTTTGAAAAAGAAAAAAAAATGAACAAATTCCTATGCCCCACAAATAACCCAGAGATGCATTTTAAATAAAAGGACACATTCTACTCATGTAAAAACACGCTGATTCCCGGATTGTCTGCGGGCCAGATTTAGAAGGAAATTGGGCCGGATTTGGCCCTCGAGCCTTAGTTTGCCTACCCATGAGTTAAATGCTGGTAGGGCAATGGCATGGTGGTTGGTCAGTTCCCAAGTTTAGAGGTTGGGAGATTTACCAGTTGTTGGGGGGGGGGCTGTACTCCTTCTGAAGTAACAGGTACAAAATCTAGGGATGTTGTAGATCCTTCTCTTTAATGGGAAGCCCAAGTGATGTAAGCAGCAAGGAACACCTTAAACCTTCTTCATCTGGCAAACTGGTTATGACTATTCCAGTAGCCTAGATACTGAGATCTATACATTGGCAACCTCAAAATTAAATTCCTGTAATATAACTTTTGTGGACCTTCCCTGCCCACAGGGAGCAGAACAAAGAATCACAGCCAGCAAAGCATATATATGTAATTGGTTTAAAATGTAGCAGATCCTTTGCTAGTCACCAGACTAAGTTAAAATACATGGAACATATATTTGCAGAACTCTGAAATTCATATTATGCAGTCTACTCCCAGGTACATAAAATATACAACATTTAGAGTATCAGCTTCTTTGGTCAGGAAACGCACCCCCCACCTGCCTTATGTTAAAATTTTTAACAAAGAACAGAATAAATAGTCAGCATAGCAAAACAACCTAATGTTTTACTGTTTCATGAAACAACATGAAACATTGTGAAGATTGTCTTTAGAATATGTCTATGTGGGGAAATTAAATTAAATTAAATTAATCAATTAAATTTAATTCAAATTTTCTGTTTAAGCCTTTATGTGCATTTTTTCCCCCAGAGGAAAAAATCATCATGACATTATCAGAGTTCTGTGACACCCCCCCCCAAAAAAAAGTTAAGAACCAATGCTTTAGCTATATATTGGTCAATGTCCAAATTATTTAAACAGTTCTTCCTTTATTTCAGATATGGCTGCCTTTGTGAAATGTCCAGAAGAGGAGTATCCCAACCATGACCAAACCTAATGCATTCCCGAGGTCCCAAGCTACCTCTCTTATGAAGAAGATTTAGGGCTCATAGTTATCTTGACTACTTCTTTCTCTCTGATCACAACATTAGTACTTGGGACTTTTATGAAGCACAATAATACTCCCATAGTCAAAACCAACAATCGGACTCTCACCTACATCCTTCTCATCTCCCTCCTGCTTTGTTTCCTCTGCTCCTTTCTCTTCATTGGACAGCCTGGAAAGGTGACCTGCCTTCTCCGACAAATCACTTTTAGCATCATCTTTTCTGTGGCCCTTTCCAGTGTTTTGGCAAAAACCATTACTGTGCTTCTGGCATTCATGGCAATCAAACCGGGATCCAGGTTGAGCAAATGGATAGGTAAAAGACTGGCAAATTCTATTGTCCTTTCCTGCTCCTTTATTCAGGTTTCCCTTGGTACTCTTTGGTTAAGTACATCCCCTCCATTCCCAGATACGGATATGCACTCGCTGCATGGGGAAATCATACTTGAATGTAATGAGGGTTCAGTGGCCATGTTTTATGGTGTCTTAGTCTATATGGGTTTGTTAGCCATTGTCAGCTTCATCTTGGCTTTCCTTGCCAGGAAGCTACCTGACAGTTTCAATGAAGCCAAATTTATTACTTTCAGCTTGCTGGTGTTTTGTAGTGTTTGGTTGTCCTTTGTTCCCACCTAACTGAGCACCAAAGGAAAATATATGGTAGCTGTGGAGATCTTTTCCATCTTGTCCTCTGGTGCTGGATTACTGGGTTGCATCTTTCCCCCTAAATGCTACATTATTATACTCAGACCTGAGCTGAACACCAGGGAAATACTAATCAGCAGAAAAAAGTAAAAGAACATGAGTGCATATGTTTCTTTCTGCTTGTGTTTGTATTTCATTGGTAATGCTGTTGAGAGGGATGTCTTAAGAATTCAGCTATGGGTACTTGCTTAAGCAAATGTCTGTCCTTCAATTCTTGTATGCAGAGTTTGGCCAGAAACATTTCATTTTAATTTGGTTCTCACTTTAGATTGCTAACATCTCCTGCATTTGAATGGAGCCTTTCCTACTTAACTGTTCAGGGTAATGCTAACTCAAATGAAGACACAATTATAACTCATATGATTCCTTGTTTTGAGGGTCCTCAAAAATTAATTGGCTTGGAAATAATTTCTCCATATGTGTGTTTTTGGTTGCATATATATCGCCATCAGTGACTCAAACAACTTCTAAGTGGTTTACAAGTACAAAACCAATTATAAGATATAGCCACATAAAATGAAAATACAAGTTCAATTAATTTCATCTGAACACCAATGATTGAAATATACCATAGCAATCAATAGAGTTAAAATAGCAATTTATACTGAAGGACCTGGGCCAAGCCAAACATAGTAACTTTCAAAGATTCCTGAGTCATGTGTTTTCTTGCTTCTGCATTTTCTTAGCATCATAGTAACAACTTCATATCCAGCCTATTCCCAGATACATACAGTACACAACATTTAGAGTATCAGCTTCTTCGGCCAGGAAACATTCCCAACCCATTCTTATGTAAACATCATGAACATTTTAAGTACTGCATTGATAAAGATTCTTACTAATTAAATTAACTATCAGTAAAAATAAATGGGGAAAACAATATTTGGGAAAGATCTTCTAGCGGTTTTGTTATGCATGACAGAACTTCAGAAGTCAGCAATACACTGGAGAATGATAATCATATCTGTCAAAATTGCTAGTTTATGCAATTGACATTCAGCACATGTTAGCAAGTATCTGAAGTAAAGCTATAAAACACTTGTATTCTTCAGTATTAGATCTAGGTAGAGGCAGGGCTCTGTCATTCTTCCGTTAGATTATCTCTCTTTATATTAGGATATATTTTCAGAAGTTAATTATTCTTCCAAAAAACAAAAACAAAAAACCCACCCACACACATACAAATAAAGTGTGGAGCTTTAGCCTTGAATGTAGACTTTATGAGTCCCAGTGTTATTAGCAGGAGTCACATTCCACTAACTTATTATCGATCCAGTTCAAAGAGAGAAACAGATGAACAATATTAACTAGAACAGTTCTCCTGCCATGGACCACATAAAACTTGTTGAAGTTCTTTGCAGACCACTTAATGGTCTTCCTTTTGCAGCAATTTTAAGATGTTGAGGTTGCATAATTTTAAGAGTACTTTATTGCTTTTTCATTTTGAATCTTGTATTTTATTGTATAAAATTCAAATTATAAATGTTCTTCACAAACATGCTGTTGGACAGCCTGAACGGAGCATGTAGACCACTGGTGGTCCACAAACAATAATTTGAGAACCCCTGAACTAGAAAACAAAGGAACTGGCATACTCATTCTATAGCAGGCAAAGGTGAAAATCAATGCAGCCATAGTATTATCTACTATTTGATTGAGGCCATACCTACTGAACCTTGAAAAACCACAAGTAATGCTGTAGAGGGTACCATGGGAATTGAAATTTGGAAGGGATTTTTTGTCAACAGGATCATGATGGTGATAGTTTTGCTGCTTATGCTGCTGTGCCATACTGTATGCAAGTCACATTTCATTAATTGCAGCATACGTGATGATCCGCTCCCTATTCCTCATGAATTTTACCAGCCAGGGGATCTTGTTATTGGTGGGATGGTTTCTCAAGTCCTCTTTCTCTATAATGTACCTTCTCTAATTGAACCACCTACACAGATTGTAACTGATGAACCTATGTAAGACATCATCACTTTGCTCTCCCTTCTCTCTCACACACATTTTTTTTGTAATATGTAAAGACCGTATTTACCAGGAACACATATTTAAGGAATACTGCATTTATTTATTATGGTTGTGAAAAGCAGCATGTTGGCAATGCTTGGAGTTGTTAATAAATATTTTGCCTTCTATGTGATATTGCTGGGCACAAGATAATAATAAACTTTCCCTTACAACTGCCAATGAAATGAATGGACCTGTTTGGTTTATCTTTTCTTCTGCACAATGGAGGAATATGCTGAAGGAGGAATATGACATTGTATTATAGTGTATTTCACATTTAAGATCGGTAAAAAAACTTTTTGATTTAAACATGCTGTCCCTGACATGCTCTTCCGCATTTATACATATAAAATTGTTGATGACCTAAGCAATATATATAGCTATGAATCCACAAAATGCATAATTTAAACTAATGTGAAATCCTATATGCATATGGTGAAAATACATTAAGGGAGATAATGATTTTCATCACTAAGGTGGAATTTGATATCTGTGATGAGTGTTCTCAAGTTTGGTGTTGGAGCTTCATTGTTTGTATTGCTCTGTTCTTCGTTTATGCTGTTGTAAATTAAAAAAGGCTCCAGAACATATTAAATAATTATTCATTTAAAATATAATATAATATAGAAATAGAGAATATATGGTCTATATACATTGGGTTATTTACAGCTTGTTTATCTGGTTGCCATTGTTGCTGGTAGGCAATGGGAAATACTACAGCAACAGCAGGCAGCAGTTTGTTAACAAAAAGTATGATCCCAAAACAATTTGAGCATTTAGTTGCTCAACTGAGATACTTTATTTTCATTTCATTTTGAGTTTGTTTCCTTTTAGCTTCACGGCAGTCTTGAATGGGTGTGGATGAGGAATGAAGAATACAAATGTGTCTTTCATTGCTTCTGTCACTGTTGTTTTATTAAAAAGCTGTAACTTACATTGCAGTTCGGTGCCTAAGGACTACCAGCACATCCTGGCCTTAGCCTTTGCTGTAAAAGAGATAAATGAGAACCCCAATATCTTACCAAACATTTCCCTGGGATTCCACATTCTTAATAGCTACACTGCTAGCATGACCTATAAGGCCACCCTGAGCCTGCTTTCTAAACAACAAAGATTTTCTCCTAACTTCAACTGTCAAAATCAGAACAAACTGGTCGCTGTTGTTGGAGGATGCATCTCTGAAATCTCTGCCAATGTGGCCATCATTTCAGCAATCCACAAGACACCACAGGTAACCTGTGTGCATAGTTTTATGAAAATGAGATACTTGTGAGCTTTGCAATATGGCTGTAAACACCACCATGATTTGAGAAAAAAGTGTTGATGATCTTTTGGATCATGGGCAGCTGATGGGCAGGTACATTTTTTACTTAAAGAGAAATTTGCAGGGGTGAATGACAGGGGTGTAAGTACAGAGACAAAGTGGGCATTGAACAGGAGATGTGACTTTTACCTATGGACATTCCATTATATTCCAGACACATAAAACCAAGCAGTTTTTACACCCCCAGAACACACCAGTATTTTCACCACTAGAAGGCAAGCAGCATTATCACAGCACAAACTCACTTGAACAGAGTCAGTGTGGGATGTTGCCTGCATAGAGACATTGTTTCCTGTGTAGCTAGAGGGAATTACTTTTAAGATTATATTATATGGGTCATGGATCAAGAAAATTTAGTCTGCACTTCTAGTTTTGACAATTGAGGGAGCTGAAGAGGTCAGTGTGATAAATAAGGGTAGAGAGTAATTGAGGGGAAAGTTGAGGCCTGTATGTTAATACCCAGTGTGTTATTAAAATCCATTGGTGCAGATCAGGAGTAGGAAGCCAGCGGCTGAGTTGATCTGAGAAGCTGCCCAGGGTAAATACTTGCTTGTATTTGAGTATCTGAAATTGATTAAACTGTCCAAGCAAGCAGAAATACAATCAGAGGAGCTCTTAGTAAAAGGGCAGATTGTCCCCAATAGCTGGACTGGGCTGTGGATGTATTTGCCTGGAAGTCAAATCAGGAATTTGACCTGAGGTAAAAGCCACTTAGAAGCTAGTGTCAGGAATGGTGTCTCCTGAGTCTTCAGAAACCCTCAAAAAGTACCACAAGATAATATTTAGCTTAAAGTTCATTCTGTCTCCAGCATTGGTGTCTATCTTATTCCTAAGCCTACTATACATACTAGTAATAGGATGTTTTGAAAGCATTTGAGTGACCTGGTTGCAGCAGGAAAAAAGTTACCTAAATTGGTGTTTATACAGCCTGAGGCTGAGGGAACTAGTATCACTGAGAGGCAAAACTGCAGAACACCGAAATAAAATCACAATGATGTTATTGCAATGAAAAACTTGAAGAAAAAATGAAATCAAAGGAGACAAATCAAATGTTTAGGCAAACAACAACACCCATTTGCACACCCATAGGATGCAGGAAACATGGCTTGGCACTAGGCTGGGGGTGGAAAGAGCTGTCCATTTTGATTTGCTCAGATTCCCATTTTCCCAATCCTAAATTCAGTTCTGCACATTTCTGCAGCAAACTGCATTTCTTTAGACAAAATCCTCACATTTTAATAATAATAATAATATAATAAGAATAATAATGTTTTAATGTGTTAATTTCTCCTAATAAACACACTTTTGTATGCAGCCATGACTAATGTGCATTTTTGCAAGCAATTTCTCCTAATATAACACAGTTTTTATACTGTTTGCATCATATAAGGAAAGGTTGAAATAAATTGGTATGTTCAGGCTCTTGAAAATGAGTTTGAGGCAGAATAGACTGAAACTGTTGCCACATACAAGAGGTCAAAGATTCATTCTGTACTGCTGCAAAAGTAGTACTTGCTTAAGGTCCAACACTGGGAGTAAAAATACTTCAATAATAGGGCAAACGAAACAGCCATTGATTGCAGAAACTGTGATTCTGGTTTTCAAAAGGATGTTGAACTACATTTACTATTCTCTTGTAATCTGTTTGAGAAATATTCATGGGTTTCATTACAGCTCACTTATGGATCATTTTTACCCTTACAAAGTGCAGAAATTCTATTCCCATTCTTGTACCAGATGGTCCCCAATGAAGCCCACCAGCACAAGGGAATTGTGCAGTTACTTCAGCATTTCAGATGGACATGGGTTGGGCTTTGTGCCGTGGATGATGACAAAGGGAATAGGTTTTTACAAACAATAGTGCCAATGCTTACCCAGAATGGCATCTGTTATGACTTCATAGTAAACATTCCAAAATGGAGTTATATGGATGAGATGCTAGACTGGTTTTTTAAGCACATGGATGCTTATATCATTGTCTTTGAAAGAAAGGCCAATGTATTTTTTGTATATGGGGAACCTCCATCCTTTCAAGTTATAAGAATGATGTTGTTTCTAGCACCCTTGGTGGACTTGCCCCCTCTGGGTAAAGTGTGGATTATTACATCCCACTGGGATTTTGCATCACACTCTATTCAGAAGATCTGGGATTTACAAACCTTCCATGGTTCCATATCCTTCACGGTTCATTCAAATCAACCATTGGGATTCCAAAATTTCCTTCAGATGCTAAGACCTTCATGGGCCCAAGGAGATGGTTTTATCCAGGACTTTTGGGAACAGGCATTCAACTGTTCATTACAAATGTCTAATGGGCAGCATCAGGAAAGGAAATACTGCTCTGGAGGAGAGAAAGTGAAGAGTCTTCCTGGTACCTTGTTTGAAATGGAAATGACTGGCCACAGCTACAATGTTTACAATGCCGTCTATGCTGTGGCTCATGCTTTGCAAGCCATTTACAAATCCAATTCTAAAGGCAGACAGTTGGGAGAACAACAGAAACTGTTTTTTCAGAATGTGCAACCATGGCAGGTAATTACAATTGAACATTTTTAAAAGTCTATATTTTCATCCAGAAAAATAGGGAATTTTATGTCTGCATGAGACAATTCCTGTGCCTCTATTGGTTTTCATTGCCTTTCATGTTTTTCTTCTCCTTTTGGAAATCCATTATGAAAAGTATTGATGATCCCATGATAAAATATTGTTATTTCAATTCAAAATCACCCACCAACCTGGAGATAAAGGAAAGTAAAGATAATTAGAAATATCAAATAATCATATAAGGTTTCCAGTTCAAGAACAAAACATGATCACCCAATGGATGAAGTCACCACATACATTGTTGAAGAATTTTGAAACAGTCTTCACTTTCTTTCTATCTAGGTCCATCATTTTCTAAGGTCCATTTTGTTCAACAATAGTGCTGGGGATTCAGTGTGTTTTGATGATAATGGAGAGTTAGTTACGGGTTTTGATGTAACAAACTGGATTATTTCCCCGAATGGCTCATTGTTTAGGGTCAAAGTTGGAAGACTGGATTCTCAGGCACCTTTAGGAAAAGAATTAAGCATAAATGATGATCAAATTGTGTGGCATAATGTTTTTAATCAGGTGAGACACAGCTCTGTGGCATTTGATGTTTTGACTCAATTTTTTCAAAGGGATTGAAGTCATCTAACTCCCTTTCAAATTTAGTTTTCATATATTATTCCATGAATCTTTTCAAAAACATTATTATATTCCTGTTCTAACTAGGTCGAATTCCTATTACAGTGGTACCCCTGGTTACGTACTTAATTCGTTCCGGAGGTCCATTCTTAACCTGAAACTGGGTTAGTGGAGTCTGTAACCTGAAGCGTATGTAACCTGAAGCGTATGTAACCCAAGGTACCACTGTATTTTTTTATTTTTCCTGTCCCCCAATAAATAAATAACTTATTTCATGAACTGATTTCAGGAAAGGGGGCTAGGTATTATCTTTAAGGGACACTTTTCATTTGGATAGATATTTCCTTATTTAGGATGTTAAGAGAACTATATCCACCTATTTAAAAATTATAAGTTTCTACATACACTACCAAATAAACATCTCTCTGAAAAGGCCATGCTGAGACATTATGAGAGTTTAAGAACACATTCTAGCCAGGGGAAAGCACTTGGGCGATGTGACCTGGGGAGGGTTGCCTGCTAGTGAGCCAGAGGTTCTTCATTCCAATGCAAAATGTACATTTATGTGAGTAGAACAAAATCTAATGCCCAACCTCTCAGTTCCTCAGCAACTGAAACAATCTCCTTTTTTCCCTTTTATTAATACAACATACCCCTCAACACACTGTAAAACTAGGGTGCCATCTTCCAGGGCCATGGTCCCATGTGAGTCACATGATCCGTGTGAGATCATGGCCCTGAAATAGCACTTTTTTTAGGGTGAGACCTCAATGCCTAAAATGACCACTGTGCTGGTGTGTGACAAAACAGGATTGCCTGGTTTTCCCACGGCAGCTGAGGGATATAAAACAATACAATAAAAACCCTAACCTAAATGAAAGCAAAAGTATGTGTGAGAAAGAAGGACAAAAAGCCCTCTTCCATAAGTAAATCTTAACTTGACAAGACAGAGAAAAGTGAACTCTCCCAGCTCTAACCTGGAGCTTCCGTTTCTTCTCCCAACCTCCTTTTTTCAGTGATCTATTACCCTTTCTTTATTGATTCTGTACAGGTGCTACCCATTTCTGTGTGCAATGACTGCTGCTATCCTGGCTACAGCAAGAAAAAGAAGGAGGGAGAGAAATTTTGCTGCTATGATTGTGCTCCATGTCCAGAAGGAATGGTCTCTAAGTATAAAGGTGGGAGGAATAATGGACACAACTATCTTATTTGCATTTCCATAACAAAAGATAAAGTGTAACACTTTAAATGCTTATGACGGTAGTTTGCAATGAAAAAATGCAAACAAAAAATAAAAATCCCTAACTATTATATTTTAAGAGTTTTAAAGAGTATGGGACTGGCTGAATTTGTGTCCATCACTATCTGTCAGTCAAAGCAACCTGACAGGGTGGATATGAAGACCCCTTGTCAAGTAGTTCCACAGTTAATGAAAAAGACTTTCCTAGATCTTTCCAACCTTGAAATGTGAAGTTTCAATATGGTATCCAGAAGACCCTTTTCCTTCTTGACCATCTGGCATTTCAAGAATATAGTTTGTTTTTAGTTACATTTAGTTACATTTTTTAAAAAAATAGAATCTTATGACAACATGTTTTTTTTTTACTTTTAAATTAGATTAATAATGAAGACCAGAGAAAAAATAATTTAAATAAATACATAATAAAGGACATTTATACTTTCTGCATATTCAGTATCAGATGTGATAACTCATTGTGAAACATTCATTCCTCAGGAACACCCAAAAGCCTGCACTAGTTGAATCCCAGCCTTCGAGTTTATATTACACAACATGGTGATAATATCACCAACATTTCAGGATACATTCACCATCATTGTTTCTCCCCTTTGATAATCTTGCAATACAGTTTCTGTCATCATTAATTTAGGAATAATATTTCAAACAACGGGCAAAATAAATTGTCAGTATAACAGAGCAACCCAATGTTTTACAGCTGCATGAAATAACATGAAACATTGTAGACGGTTTTTAGATTCTGTCTATGTGAAAAAAGGGAATTTTGAAAGCAATTATATAAATTGAATGCAAAATTTGCTGTTTATGTCTTTATGTGGATATTTTTATGAGATTATATAAAAGTTCTGTGATGCGCCGCCCAAAAAGTTAAGAACCAATGCTTTAGCTGTGCATTGGTCAATATCTGAAATATTTAAACAGCTCCTCTTTTATTTCAGATATGGCTGCCTGTGTGAAATGTCCAGAAGATGAGTATCCCAACCATGACCAAACCCAATGCATTCCCAAGGTCCCAAGCTACCTCTCTTATGAAGAAGATTTAGGGCTTATCTTAGTTATCTTGACTATTTCTTTCTCTCTGGTCACAACATTCATCCTTGGGACTTTTATGAAGCACAATAATACTCCCATAGTCAAAGCCAACAATCGGACTCTCACCTACATCCTCCTCATCTCCCTCCTGCTTTGTTTCCTCTGCTCCTTTCTCTTCATTGGACAGCCTGGAAAGGTGACCTGCCTTCTCCGACAAATCACTTTTAGCATCATCTTTTCTGTGGCCCTTTCCAGTGTTTTGGCAAAAACCATTACTGTGCTTCTGGCATTCATGGCAACCAAACCAGGATCCAGGATGAGGAAATGGATAGGGAAAAGGCTGGCAAATTCTATTATCCTTTTCTGCTCCTTTATTCAGGCTTCCCTTGGTACTCTTTGGTTAAGTACATCCCCTCCATTCCCAGATACGGATATGCACTCGCTGCATGGGGAAATCATACTTGAATGTAATGAGGGTTCAGTGGCCATGTTTTATGGTGTCTTAGTCTATATGGGTTTGTTGGCCATTGTCAGCTTCATCTTGGCTTTCCTTGCCAGGAAGCTACCTGACAGTTTCAATGAAGCCAAATTTATTACTTTCAGCCTGCTGGTGTTTTGTAGTGTTTGGTTGTCCTTTGTTCCCACCTATCTGAGCACCAAAGGAAAATACATGGTAGCTGTGGAGATCTTTTCCATCTTGTCCTCTGGTGCTGGATTACTGGCTTGCATCTTTTCCCCAAAATGCTACATTATTATATTCAGGCCTGAGCTTAACACCAGGGAAATACTAATCAGCAGAAAAAAGTAAAAGAACATGAATGCATCTGTTTTTTGTTTGTGTATGTAGTTCATTGGAAATGCTGGTGGGAGGGATGTCATAAGAATTTGGTCATGGGTCCTTGCTTAAGCAAACATCTGTCCTTAAATTCTTGTATGCAGAGTTTGGCCAGAAACATTGCATTTATATTTGCTTCTCACTTAAGTTTGCTAGCATCCCTTGCATTTGAATCCTAGATGGAATGTGTATGTAATTTTCAAACTCGTATGATTCATTTTTGTGCTGGTCCCAAACATTTAAATTACTAGGAACAAATCTCTCTCTCTCTCTCTCTCTCTCTCTCTCTCTCTCTCTCTGCCTGTGTGAAATGTTTAGGGGTACTCTCATTTTTCTACTCATAGTGAAATACTGCCCCTCAATGAGGCCAAGTTTAGATTCACAAAATGTTTAGGGAGATGCGTCCCCCTGCGTCCCCCCAGAGGAAACTACTGTGTCTGTGTGTGTGTGTTCACATACATATGATCAGTGGCTCAAATGACTTTTAAGTGATTTAAAAGTACAAAATCAATTAAAAAGCTCTGGGAAGAGCTCTGGGAAGCCCACAACCCATATTGAATTTACAAATAATAACAATCATGAAATGGATTGTTTATCTTTCAGTAAAATAACCATTAATCGCTTCAATTGACATCAAAATTCAGTGACAGTTCCTATAATATGAGCTGTACTCAAAATCTTCTTTGGCGTATCCAGAGCACAATCACATTTGCCCTTTACATATTGCCATATGAGGTGGAAGAACTTTCTTTAAGTAGAGTTCTGGGGATTTTTCTCAGGAGAGGTAATTCAGAGAGGAAAGAAACCCCAAAGACTACAAAGGATGTAGGGGCCGGATGTTATTTCAGTTGGAATGATTCACCTTCCTTCTCCTCCCTGCCATGTGAAGGGGTAGAGCAGCCATGATAGGTGCAAGGCATTGATAGAGGAACACACAACTCCCCCCCTGCTTTAAGTTAACATCACGAACATTTTAAGTACTGTATTAATAAAGAATCTTATTAATTAAATTAAATACCAGTAAAAGGAAATGGGTCAAAAAATAGTTAGAAATGATCTGTTAAGAGAACTGTATCTATGAGCACAACAAATTGTGACTCTCACTTTCCCCAGACCAGGCTTTCCAGTTATCTCAAATATGAATGACCCATGGATGAAGCTGACCTTGGTACTGGTCAGATCTGGATCTACCAGCTATACAAGACTATCTACTTATTTTCCGTCAAAGGGAAAAAATAATCTGTGTATGATTCAGAGAAAAAGAAGGGAGGGAATCTTCTAACAGTTTTGTTATGCATAATAGAACTTCAGAAGTCAACAACACACTGGGGAATGATAATCATACTTGTCAAAATTGCTGGTTTATGCAATTGACATTCAGCACATGTTAGCAAGTGTCTGAAGAAAAGCTATAAAACACTTGTATTCTTCAGAATTAGATCTAGGTAGAGGCAGGGCTCTGTCACTCTTCTGTTAAAAAATCTCTCACTTATATGTTAGGATATATTTCCACAAGTAGATATATTTTTCTTAAAAAGCAAACAAAAAACCCCACCACCATCAAAGTAAAGTGAGGAGACTAGGATCTAGACTGCATGAGACCCACTGATATCAGGGGAGTCACATCCCACTAACTTATTCTTGATCCACCTCAAAGCAAAAAAAACCAGAGGAACAATATAACTAGGACAGTAGACCCCCCCCCAAGCATGGGCCACTTCTTTTATTTTGAAACCTCTATTTTATTGTTTTCCAGATTGAATTCTATAGAATTCAGATAATAATTATTTGTTACAGACATGCTGTGGACAGCCTGAACGAAGCATGCACACCACTGGTAGTCCACAAACAGCAATTTTAGAAACCCTGAACTAGAAAAAATTGGTACTGGCACCCACATCCACAACAGACAAAGTTGTAAATCTATGCAGCCAGAGTATTATCCACCCTTCAATTGTGGCTGTAGCCATGGAGACTTTCAAAACCAACCTTTGAATGGGTGGTTTTGCCAATAGGATCATGACGTTGGTGGTGTTGCTGCTTATACTGCTGTATCATGCTGTATGCAAGTCACATGTTATTAATTGCAGCATTCGTGATGATCTGCTCTCTATTCCTCATGAATTTTTCCAGCAAGGGGACTTTGTGATTGGTGGGATTGTTTCTCAAGTCTTCTATCTCTATGATTTACTTTCTCTCTTGGAGCAGCCTACACATATTGTGACTCATGAACCTATGTAAGACACCATCTCCCTCCTTCTCTCCCCTCACTTTTTTGTAATATGTTCCAACCCTAATTACAAGGAACACATATTTGAGGAATATTGCATTTATTTATGGTGGGTGTTTTAAAAAATGATATTTTGTCAATGCTGGGAGTTGTTAATAAATATTTTACCTTCCTGATAACATTGCTAAGCACAAGGCATTAATAAGCTTTCCTTCCCAAGTGACAGTGAAATGAATGGATCTAGTACATTTCTCTTTTCCTCTGCAGAGTTACCTCATCAATAAATATGCTGTTATGCATTTTTTGGCCACACTAATTCTTATTTTTTCAAGACTTTTTGCTCCCTCATCCTTCACCTCCATCTTTACCCCACACATGATATTTCATTTTCATTTTACTTTTACTTTGAGTTTGTTTTCTTCTAAGGGTAGCAGTTTCACTGCAGACTTGAACACAAACAGATGACAAATGAAGAATACAAATGTGTTTTTATTGCTTCTGTCACTGTTGTTTTATTAAATAGCTGTAACCTACATTACAGTTCAGTGCCCAAGAACTACCAGCACATCCTGGCCTTAGCCTTTGCTGTAAAAGAGATAAATGAGAACCCCAACATCTTACCAAACATTTCTCTGGGATTCCACATTCTCAATAGCTACTACTCTGCTAGGATGACCTATAAGGCCACTCTAAGCCTGCTTTCAAAACAGCAAAGATTTTCTCCTAACTTCAAGTGTCAAAATCAGAACAAACTGATAGCTATTGTTGGAGGATGCCTCTCTGGAATCTCTGCCAATGTGGCCACCATTTCAGCAATTTACAAGACTCCACAGGTAATCTATGTGCATAGGGGTATGAAAATTAGATATATGTTAGCTTTGTGATGTGCCTGTAAAAAGATAAATTAAAGTTTAGGCTAAATTGAAAGAACCAAGGAGCTGGATTCAATACTAATATTCTTAAAATGCACTCAGTCAAATTATTCAACACAACTAACTGGATGTACATTTAACTGGATACAACCCATTGTTTTCAAATCTCCAAAAAATTCAGTTATGCTTCCTTTTGCACTAGTAAGGCCACATGTTGAATACTGTTTCCCGTCCCAATTGGCACACTTAAATAAGAATGCATTAATTTCAAAATGGGTTAATAGGAGGCCAGTAAATATGGCCAGAATATGGAAAGCATATCATATAGGAAAGAAGAAAGAATGTATCTGAAGAAGTGTGCATGCACACGAAAGCTCATACGAAGAACTAACTTAGTTGGTCTTTAAGGTGCTACTGGAAGGATTTTTTTTGTTTTGACTATGGCAGACCAACACGGCTACCTATCTATATAGGAAAGGGTGAAAGAAATGTGTCTCTTGAAAATGAGTTCAAGGTGCAACATTGCAAAACACTTCAAAGACTTAAACAGTTGCCAAACAGAAGAGGTCAAAGATTCATTTTGTGCTGCCCCAAATGTGGTACTTGTTTAAGATTCAACAACTGAAGTAAAATTTCTTCAATGATAGGACAAATCAAACAGCCATTTGTTGCAGAAACTGTGATTCTGGCTTTCAAAAGGATATTGAACTAGATTGCTTACAGGACCAACTGAAACATATTGATTTACTATACTCTTGTAATCCATCTGAGAAATATTCATGGATTTTATTACAGCTCACTTATGGATCTTTTTTACCAGTGCAAAGTACAAGAATGCTATTCCCATTCTTGTACCAGATGGTCCCCAATGAAGCCCACCAGCACAAGGGAATTGTGCAGTTACTTCAGCATTTCAGATGGACCTGGGTTGGGCTTTTTGCAGTGGATGATGACAAAGGGAACAGATTTTTACAGACAATAGTGCCAATGCTTACCCAGAATGGCATCTGTTATGACTTCATAGTAAACATACCAAAATGGAGTTATATGGATGAGATGCTAGACTGGTTTTTAAAGAACATGGATACCTATCTCATTATGTTTGAAACAAAAGCCAATGTATTCTTTGTATATGGGGAACCTCCATCCTTTCAAGTTCTAAGAACACTAGTTTTTGTAATACCCTTTGTGAACTTGCCCCCTCTGGGTAAAGTGTGGATTATTACATCCCACTGGGATTTTGCATCACACTCTATTCAAAAGATCTGGGATTTACAAACCTTCCATGGTTCCATATCCTTCACGGTTCATTCAAATCAACCATTGGGATTCCAAAATTTCATTCAGATGCTAAGACCTTCATGGGCCCAAGGAGATGGTTTTATCCAGGACTTTTGGGAACAGACATTCAACTGTTCATTAGAAATGTCTAATGGGCAGTATCAGGAAAGGAAATACTGCTCTGGAGAAGAGAAGCTAGAGAGTCTTCCTGGGACCTTGTTTGAAATGGAAATGACTGGCCACAGCTACAATGTCTACAATGCTGTCTATGCTGTGGCTCATGCTTTGCAAGCCATTTACAAACCCAGTTCCAAAGGTAGAAAGTTGGGAGAACAACAGAAACTGTTTTTTCAGAATGTGCAATCATGGCAGGTAATTACAACCAAACATTTTTTTTAAAAAACTATGTTTTCTTCAGGAAGCACAATGAATTCTAAGTGTGCATGATACAATTTGTGTGCCTGTGGTGGTTTTCATTTCCTTTCAGGTTTTTCCCCCTTTTGGAAATCCATTATGATAAGTAGTAGTGATCCCATGATAAAATATTGTTATTTCAGTTCATAGTCACCCACCAACTTGGTGCATATGGAAAGTAATGATCGTTATAAATATCAAATAATCATTTAAGGTTTACAGTTCAATAATAAGACATGAGTGCCCAATAGATGAAGTGGCCGCATACATTGTTTAAGTATTTTGAAACAGTCGTTGCTTTGTTGATACTTTCTTTCTATCTAGGTCCATCATTTTCTAAGGACCATGTTGTTCAACAATAGTGCTGGGGCTTTAGTGTGTTTTGATTATAATGGAGAATTAGTTATAGGTTTTGATGTAACAAACTGGATTAT